CAAGATTGTTCTTGAAACTGATTTTTTCTGCTTCAAGAAACTTTAACCATTTAACTGGTTCAAATGCTGTGTATGGCAGAACAGCTTTGTAACAACTCAGCTAAAAGCATGAGCTATTTTCCCCTTGTGACAGCACAAGAAATGTAATCACTTGCTCAGAAATAAGCACTAAGAAACCTGCATCTTTTATAGAGTACACGACACCGTAACAAACATCTTTTGTAACTGTATGAATTTACCAAATAATCTTGATATCTGGGATGAATTAGAGAGTACAGATAAGCTGTAAACACACATACAGAATTTGTGTTTAAAAGAAAGTGTTTCTTTATTTGTTCATTAAAGTATTTATTTGGCTCTTATTTAAGTAGTAGATGAAAACGTCTGTGGAAGGTGAAGTAAAATCTTTGTCATTTAAACATCTGAAAGATGAGCACTGACCTGATCAGTCAGTAAGAATTATATTTGGGAAACATATTTGCAAAATCCTCCTTTAGAAGTTTTCTAATATTTCTCTACTAGGATATGACTTTGGAGTTAAAAAGCCAAGAGGCAGGGTAGTCTGTATTATACAAGTTTAACAAATTCAAACAGGTTGTTTTATGACAACAGATGATAACAACAGCAACTCTGCTGGAGATCAAATCACAAAATACCAGTGGTTTCCACATTACCTAATGAAAGTGAGCTTGAAGGAAAAGCCATCAAGATTTCAGAATCTTCTCAAAGGCAAGTGAGAGACTTCTGGTGATGCCCGACTGTCATCAACTTCTGCGCACCGCTGACATTTGTAAGGTTCTCTTCCTGTGGAGAATTAACTTCAAGAAATAGCTTCATCCGGTGTTACTCTGAAAGCTACGAACACTTTCCAAGAGGAATACTGGGCTAGTTGAAATGGAAGAGGCTGCGAAAGGCAGGACCAGGAAAGGTACAAGGCCGACATAAATGCCTGGATCAGCAGTTCCCAAGCTAGAGGCCGTGACCCCAAGAGGGGTCATCCACTTAGTGAAATGTCAATTGTTTATGCCGGCATTAGGGATTTTTATCTTGACAGAGGTGAAGCTTGTAGATGGAAGTAAGGTCACAACAGAAAGATGTGGGAAGCACTGACCTATATAATTATAGAGAACTGCTCTTTCCTTCAGCAGTGAGGGAAAACAGACAAAGTGTTTCTTCTATTCCATGAGGAAAATGGGTGAAAGCTTCAAGTTCAGCAGATACCTTCAAGTCTAAATTATTTTGTCAGAAAACACACAGGACTGGCACATGCTGTTACAAGAGCACGGGACTTCAGTTGCACAGGTTTTCCCTCGAGGGCCAGCCCAGACCATACTGGAGGAAGAGGAAAGGACACCATTTTTTTCAATTTTATCCTATTTTTTACCTTTACATTTGATTATAAATAAGGACTTGTGGCGCAGAACAACGGCCCACAGCAGGCATCGCATACTCTGCCCTACAATAACAGCTTGACAAGACTCAAAACATTAGATGAGGGCAGGCATATACATGATGCAGGCAGCTACTGAGGTAGGAGCTACACTTCCACCTTCACGTTAAAAACGTATCAGAGGAAGAAAAATAAAGTCAGCTATTCAGAACTTTTCCAGGCTATGCAGAGCAGCAGGAACAGATCTCCAAATTCTCTCTGTTAGGCTGTTATGTAAAAGGTGGAGTGCTTACAAGTTAAGTGGAGTGACACATAAGGCTGTTCTACTTTATACTGTGACTATATACTGAAGATTTGTCTTTCTTCCCACTTGTTTCCTTGTGGAAAAATATAACTGAGCCTATCGCTAGTTAGCTGAATTGAAACTGCATGGTTTAAGGGACCTCCCCTTCAGACATCCCTCCTGCCCCACTCCGAGGAGTGCCTGTCTGTGGAAGATGTTTGTGGGGAGGATTCTGGCAGTGCTGCAGTTTCCACTGTAGCACATTAAAGAACAGCTCATCTTCCATATGGTTGTCCCTCTGGTGCAGCACTGACATCCAGGGCAGAGACTGGACGAAATGTCACGGCAACATCTTCAGGTGTTACTCACCTCAGGTTATCTCCAAGAAGCAGAAGACTTTGTACTTTAAAAGAAGTAATTTCTCTGTGTGAAAGGCTTTAAACTAAAGGTGCAAAGCTTGCATAATTGCTAACCAATCTAGGTCTCTCTTGACTAGAAGATTTTATTGGCAAATCCATACCAGGAGCAGCTTTTATATGTGCATCATTACAAACATCCATCAAATTAAAAAAAGAGCCCCCTTTCTTTTTGATCACACATATTCTTTGTAAATATACTGACAGACAGTCTAAGTTCCATACATCACTTACATCACAAAAAATAAGACCAAACCAACTCTCCACACCACTCTTTAAAGATACTCCTAGAAGTTACCTTCACATGAAAGGGAAGGCTAATACTTTTATAACCTAACATTAAGGAAAAAAATATATATTTATATATTTATAGATATGAAAAAATAGAAGTTGTATGGGAGTCAAGATAACAAAATAATAAGTTCTCATAAGCCTCTCCTGTTATAATACCAGTACCATAACACTTTTTTCCTCTGCTTTTCTTTCTACAGACAAAACCTTTGAACAGAAGGACAAAGGAAACACATCCAAATACACGGACATTTTTCAATAAACTCTTTGAAGGGATATTCAAACAAACCAGGCCAGAATATCAGCCTGTCCCCTAGAAAATATTCCATTTCAGTGTACTATAATCTTTAATTAAGTACATCATATCAGAAATTCAGTCAGGGTTCTGACCACCACTGATGAAGCACAAGAAGTATATTAGAAAAGTTTACTAATCAAAGCAGCAGCTGCAGCATCTCCTACCCTTGTCCAATAACATATCCCAAGAGACACCAATGTGGGCCATTTTCAAATATATTTATTACATTGCACATAGGAGTAGAACCAGTGCAAATGAGCTACTCAGTGAATTAGTCGATGGCATGGCCACACTTCAGCAAGATGTATGCACCCATTTCCACAAAATGGCTCCTCAAAGCCATGCCAGTTTACAAAGGAAGCCCTTTATTGAAAGGAATATTTTTTTAAAAAGCAGAGAAAAGTTCTGAGCTGAATAATTTACATTTGCACCACTTGAAATGTCACTTTTATAACCCTGCCCCCTTGATACCAACACCTATAAACTATTGTAGAGACAGGATCTGAAAAATGTCACTTGCAGTCATCAATTCTTTCAGTGGAAGGGAATAAAATGCTTCAATATTCTGTGGCTTAAGGCTATAGGTCAAAGTAAGCACCACAGCAAAAAGTCTTATTTATTTGAAAGTTTCATGCTGCAAAAATGAACAACAGAAAAAAAATCTCTGGAACTGGAAGAATTATGTGAATCAGTGGCACTGGGTTGCTGAAACACTCATTATACAAGTGTCACAAAGGACAAGCCACTGTAACACTAATTCCATCCCTATCTCCCCCAAAATAATTATAGTTTCACAGACATTCCTACCACTAACAAAAAATTCTCCAGAGGTGAAGTGTTTGTCAAGGTAGGTTGTGTGTCAAGCTTCATGCTGGAACATACTTCTGGCCTAGCTTGCAAGATCTTAAGATTAAGGCTTGGTTTAGATTTTTATTTGGATTTTTGAAGGCTATCTTCCTTTATTAGGCTATAACAGAAATAATGCTGTGGGAGCATGTATTTTTCTGATACAGTTATAAGACTAGATGCCGCTTCTAGAACTATGCAGAGAATTGCAATATTTTCTTCAATACAAGCTGCACTGAATGCCAAAAATCATTCCACGTTTCCACACAGAGATAAGTCATCCACCTTAAAAGTCTCTTTTCCTGCTCATATGATACTTGCCAACATCCATTTCATGGGAGCAGCTCCTGTTCCCATCCCAATGTCACATCACACGGAAAAGAAAACGCACATTCAGCAGGAAAATATCTTTCCCTAGATAAGGCTGGGGGAAGTTTTTCTAAACACCATAAAGATTCCACGTCATGAGGTGAACAACGATGTTGTCAGAAGTGCAAGGCTGGCTCACGGGCTCTTCATAGCAACACAACAGTGAGCAGCCAAAGCCTCACTAAAGGGTTTTTCGGCATAAATGCTCCTGACCTAACAGCACACAGATAAAGCTCCTGCTGAACCATCCCCTCTCAACTCACACCACTCAGCTCCTCTGACAAAGACCCTGTGTCATTGCAAGCCACATTGCTGGAGAAGAGGGCGGGGTGAAAGAAGAGAAGGGAGGCACACAGGGAGGAAAAAAAAAATGCAGTCTACAAAATAGATGCAACCTACAATCGGTGACATTCAGTCCTTCACCGGCTTCTCATGAGATAAAGCAGCCGTACCATCTGCCTGCAGCCACAACCACCAGCAGCTTTGAGAAGGTAAAAAAAGCTGGAATGAATCTCAGCAGCCCTCCTGGCTCTCTAATAATGATCCCTGTCAACAGCCTAAATAAAGCACCCACACCCCCCAGTAACCCTCAGTATCTTACTGTAAGGCTGATTAATTACAAACCAGCTGAAAGTAACGGCAAAAAGGTACAAAACCATGAACAGAAATAAGTGGGCCAAAGGCCACACTGGAATACATGACTGTGGGTTCGGGTTCCCCAACGCTGCTGATTCAAAACAAGGAGGTAGCGCCAACACTTCACCCTCCATCTTCACCAGCACCTCACCACCCTCCTGCCCGGCTCCACTTTCACCGTTATTTGAAATAAATTAAGATTGACTTAAAACAAGCAGACTGCCTCAATACCACTCGGCCCCACAGCCCAGAGCTTTCACCCTGCACCCGCATCCACCATTCTCCATCCCGGTCCCACCATCCTCCCCTAGTCATCCTCCCTGCGCCCTCCCCCGCCCCACAGCACCATCCTCCTGGCCTCAGGCCCACACTGCCGTCCTCCTCACTCCCCTGAAAGCATCCTCCTCACCGCTGCCTCGACCCTATGCCCCGTCCCTCTCCTCAGCGCGGGGAGCCGCGGGCCCGGCTCACCTCCAGCTCGGTGTCGCCGGGCTCGGCCACCCCAATGATCTCGCTGGGCAGCTCGGCCAGGTCGGTGACCCGGATCAGCCCGTCGTGCAGGAAGATGGTCTCCTCCTTCACCGACAGCCACTGGGCCGAGTCTGTGGCCGCCGCCGCCGAGGCGCCCGCCGGAGACCCCATGGCGCGGACGGCGGGGGGGCTCCGCAGGGCTGAGGCGAGGCGGGTGCCGCTACCCTCCCATGGCGGGGGCAGGGCGGGGGCTGGCGGGTCCCCAGCGGCCTGGGTGCCGGACAGCCGGAGCGCGGTGGGGAGCAGCGAGGAGCGCCGCGTTGCCACCGCGGCACCGGCGGAACGGGGAGCTCCGGGAGCCGCCGTGCCCGCCCGCAGCCACCACGTCCCGCTCCCTCCTCACACACACAGGTGACAGCGCGACGCCATGTTGGGGGCTGAGGCGGGCCCGGCATGCACCGCGCGACGAACAATACACCCTCCCCCCTCCCGGCCCCGCGGGGCTCCGCCTCCCGCCGGGCCCGGCCCTCGGTGCCGCCCCCCGCTGCTCCGCCCCTTGTCCCCTCAGCGCCTCGTCCCGCTCCTTCGCACCTTGGGCGCCCTCCTTCACCTCTCCGGTGCCGCCTTCCTCAGCGCCTTGTCCCGCACCTTGGGCGCTCCCCTCAGCGCCTCACCTCGGCCCCCCTGCCCCACGGAATGGCGGCTCCCCTCAGCGCCTCACCTCGGCCCCCCTGCCCCACGGAATGGCGGCTCCCCTCAGCGCCTCACCTCGGCCCCTCTGCCCCACGGAATGGCGGCTCCCCTCAGCGCCTCACCTCGGCCCCTCTGCCCCACGGAATGGCGGCTCACCTCGGCCCCCCTGCCCCACGGAATGGCGGCTCCCCTCAGCGCCTCACCTCGGCCCCCCTGCCCCACGGAATGGCGGCTCCCCTCAGCGCCTCACCTCGGCCCCCCTGCCCCACGGAATGGCGGCTCCCCTCAGCCCCTCACCTCGGCCCCTCTGCCCCACGGAATGGCGGCTCCCCTCAGCGCCTCACCTCCCTGCAGCCAAAGGCCGCTTCCCTCAAGCGCCGCACCTCGACGGTGGGGCTGTTCCCATCAGTTTCCCTCTTCAGCCCCAACTTGGATAGCCAGGGTCCCTTTGAAGCTACCCTGTTCCATCGAGGACTGATCCCTCTTGGTGCCTCGTGTTCCTCACGGTAGTTTTTCCCTGCCTGACACCTGTGGTCACCCTCCATTTTGACTGCCCTCCTCTCTTTCCAGAACGTCCTCTTTTTCCTTCCCTCGTCTGCCCTCGAAGGAATCCTGTCACCTCTCCAGGGGCCTTTTCCCAAAGGACTTGTGAACAAGCAGGTACGTCCATTAAAATCCATGCGTTATCTGTGTAATGAGGATTCCAGAAAGCGTGAAGCAAAAAGGTTCCCTTCACCAAAGTATGTGTGGAAAAAAAAGGAGATCTAAGCTAAAATTGACCCTTCTTTCCCCAGGCCTCTCTTAGCCATAATGATGTGCCCTTCCCCATTTCCCACCAGTCTGATTTCACACGCGGTTGCCTCCGACCTCCAGCCCGGGTTGAGAGCAGCACCGAGTGCCACGGGCGGCTGGCCCGCAGCGTTCAGCAGAGCACACGCTTGTGAGACGAAGCACGTTAATGAGAAGGACATGAGGAGAAATGTCAAGTATTTTTAGTGTGTAATTGCTGTGGGGATTCCCATTGCAAGCAGCTGCTTTTCATGACTCTGCACAGCCGAGTGGGGATGGAGCACTGCGTTTATTTGTTTGATCAGATTAAATTATTTACTCTATTGGTGCATTGCAACGAATGTGCTGTGGTAGTGGAGGAAAAGTGTATTCAGAGCTGTAGCAAAACGAGAGCTACGGCCAGTGCTTTCCATCCTATTAAATCTGGTTGGGAAGAAGCATCTTTTCCGTGTAACGGACCATTGCTCAACTTATGACCCACATAAAGTGTCTTTATAGCACTGATTCAGCTGTGTGAGCATTCATACAGTTGTGTAGTTTTACCTCTGAGGCTGGTTCAGGCAACATCAGATTCAGGTAAATTCATATGAGTGGTTGGTTGTGTGTCTGTGTGGGAGCTCAATACACTGTGTTCGGTGGGATATCACTGCCATTCATGTATTGGAGAGCAGAAGAGTCTCCAGGCTTGCTTTTATTGTAGAAATAGATATTATTTGTGCTAGAGAGTGTGATTTTGAGCAGGGAGAGTACAGAGACTTGGTATTAAAGGTTTCTGTAAGGCAGAGCCCATTGATGGGCATCTGTTATTTTTGGTCGAGACATGACACAGACAACAGCGGCTGCAGATGGACATATCCATAGATGTGAAATCACCCTGAACCTCCTGCAGGATGCTAATGCTCCAAAGTGAGTCAATGCTGAGATTTAAAGTCTTTGTGGCAGGTGGGACAAGGCAGCTGAGTTCCTGCAGTTGAGATAAGCTGTGCTAACAAGGCCTCCTTTGGAGGGGTGGGAAAGATGCTGAGGTTAGATTAGTCACAGTATTTCATTGCAAAATAGCGACTGGTGTTACCAGAGTAGGAGTTTTACATTGTTTTAATTCTTCACATCAGACTGGAATAGAGGAAGAAAAACACAAAGTGTGTATATGTTTTAGTGGGAGTAACACTTAAAACAACTTCTGTCTTCAGATTTTTTAGTACTGTCATGGTACTACTTGAGTATCTTCCACAAAATCAATACAAATAGCAGAGCTGGGGGGTAAAATGGGATGTTCACTTCACAAGCACCACTCATGCCAGGAATGCTTGTCAACAGAAAGGATTTGCTGTGTTTTGTAGAGGTGGCGGTGTTCTGGATGTAGCTGTTGTTCTCCAAAGGTCTGCTCCATAGCCTGGGTAACCCAGGATGAAAATTCTTTGTCTCCAGCTCTCACATGCTCTTTCCAAGGCCTTCTGGACTGCTTTATCCCAGAGGAATACGGTTGCCAGAGTAGCTCCCAGATGGAGAGTCAGGGTTTGATATAGCTGTCGATTTAATCCACTAATTGCTTTGAAATACAAACCAAGGCCTTGTATTAGAGTAAGGAGCTGACTCAGAGGTAAAAGAGAAGGATGTGGAGCTGTGGGTACGTTCATACCAGACTAAGCACAGAAAGAGCTGCATGGCTAAATAATGTACTGTCCAGAGGCTGCTTTTGTCATTGGACTGGGGTTGGTGGCCAGTTTCTCCCAGCGAGGGAGTGTTTTTGTGTGGTAAGTAACCTGAGCAGCCCCTGAGTGCAAAGCAGGAGAACTGTGAACTGGAGATTGTGCCAACGTTTCAGAAATCTCTTTTAGCCATATTGTGTGAGACATCCCAGACTGATCCGAGAGCGTATTTACCACTGTATAGTTATTTATTTGCTTATTTTGAGTTCTTCTAAATTTTATTGATTTGGCAATTCAAAGTTAAAAATCAGGTATTGATGTAGTCTAATGCTGTAAACTTGATAAATGTGTCCTATCCTGCCTCAGGTAAATAAAATCATTACTAGTAAATGTGAGATTTCCTAAGTTATTTTAGGTGCTTGTGATTCAGGAATTACCAGCATTTTGTACAGTGCATGTGCTTCCATAGCATGGAATGCTGACATAGCTTTCTTCATGAAATTTTCAATGGTAGGGCCCTGCAATGAATTCAGCAAATATAATGCAGTTTGTCTGCATCTGCTGCAGAAGATGTTGTATAATATAATGGGAAAAAAAATATTTTTGTTCTGCAAGTCACCAGAAAATGTCAGCTGGAACTTCAATGCAGCATTCAGAGGTACTGCAGTGACTACAAAGAAGTCTTGTACTACATTATGGGGATGGTGTAACTTAAAAAAAAACAGACTAGAATAACTTTGTGACGCAAATCATCAAGCTGAAGACATAAACCCCTTAACTTTTAAATAAACTTCTACAGAAAACCGATCTTCTGCAGATGGGGCAACTGCTGTGGTCATGTCTGCCTGTGGTGGCCGGGATCTGGAATGAAGTTCTTGATGTGCAGGTCTGTTGATCTGCAGCAGAATGTGCCCTTGTGCTTCTCTGCCCGTCACCATTACTGAGATTTAGCAGAAGATGCTCATAGTCCTGTGAGCTGAAAGTGAAAATTCACTCTTTGTACTTAGAATTGACCATTTGCACTCACATAAATGGAGCTTAAAGGAATATAGTCTCACCCTCCAGTTTAATTTTATACTAACAGCTGTAACATAGGGTGGAAATTGTTTTCATCCTAAGGCTTTGCTGTACATTCTTCTGTTAATTTAGAAATGGCAGTTTCAGTTTTAATGGCCATTGTGGCATCAAGAAATGTGTGAAACAGAAGAAATAGTTGCTATTTTTATGTGGTCTGCAATAACTAGATTTCCATACCCTGAATTCTGGCTTCTCTGCCCATTACTTGCTATTTAGAGAGCCCAAATGGCATCATTAATAAGACCTGTGAGCAAGGAATAGTGGCATTTCATGGCACACTAACTGTGATTAAAAAATACAGTTTCTACATTTTTCTTTAAGTAAAACTTAGGACTGAAGTGGAAAAAAATGAGTATTTGACAGAGGAAAAAGAACAAATGACAGTGAAATAGAATAATGCCAAACTTCAGAAATGTATTTTAATTTTTAATGCTTTTAATTGCAAAGGAAAAATAGTCACATTTTTCTCATTTTGATATGTTAGCAATAATTGCTGAAGAAGACTGACTAATAGCAAGGTAGAGCAAATAAAGGAAGAGCAAATAAAAAGAAGTTTTTATTAACATGAATAAGGATCATTTTATTATAGGAAACAGGAGTCTGAATCACCTACCTCACAAAAACAGCCTTAGTTGAATTGGCCATGAAACAAATGTAAAATACAGAATCATAATAAAAGTGCTGGAATGTTTTCTTAGAGGCAATCCAATCCTGTGTTGTTAGCCAAGCTATCACCACACTACTCGTGACGCACGCTTGTCCTGTCTGGAGGCTCCACCTGCAATCTCTTCCATTGTTGAATTGTCATTATGGCTGGGGAGTTCCCTAATGCTCAATTAAACTTGTGTTGCTGTAATTTCAGCTTTTGTAGGCACAGAGAAGAGTTTATTTCTTCCACCGATGCGCAGTCTTTTCCCATCATCTGCACTAAATAATCCCCATCCTTTCCCACTTTCTCTAGGCTATGTCCTTTGGAAGTCTGATCATTCTTGTGCTCTTTGGCATTTCTTCCAACTTTTCCACATCTCTCTTGAGCTGCTGGTACTTTAGATGAAGCCTTACTGGTGTGAAATGGTTTGGACAGATTCCTGTGTCTTCTGTGCGATACTCCTGTTAAGTGCCTTGGTATCATCTTTGCTTTGCAGCTGTACGATATTGTTGACTCACGCTGTGCTTGTAAATGAAATAACAACTTGGGCTTCAATTCTGTTTGTGGTATTTCACATGCAGAAACAAAGCAAGCTGGCATTTAGCATCACTCTTGCTAATCTCATGTCTCATTCTCCTACTCAAGAATTTAACGCAAGTAGCCTTTTATGGAGGGAAGTATTTAAATGCTGCCCATCAGTGAGGAAGAGTGTTTGGGAGCTCAACAGATCCCTCAGTGGTTGTCCTGAATTTCTGAATTTCTAATGTCTCAGAAGACTCATTATTAATACCCAAAAATAGGTAGGTTTTAAATACAGCTGTTCTGTACTGTTTTAAAATTCCATCTCCCTGAAAACTGGTGCAATGAAATGAGGAAAAAAAAAAAAATGAAGAAAAGTCTGCTACAACATCCTGCTCAATTTTGTAAAAATCTAAAGATAACAAGGTGGATTTATACGATTGGTATATATTATTACAAGGTCCACTTTATAAAGTGTTTCTCAGGGAGAATTTTTAAAATGAAGTGGCTTTTGTGTTTTTATTATCTTTGTCTTTTACTTGAATTCACAGATAAGTTCCTAGATCCTGTGAAGTCTTAAGGAACAGGTTTTCACAGGCGTTGTTGCACTAACTACCCTTTTTCCTGAGAAAAGGAAGCCAGGTCAATGAATCCCTGGCCTTAGTAAATGCTGTAGTCTATCCTGATTTTCTCTTCAATGGTGACAGGCTTTCAAAACAAACCTAAAACTGAAAGCCAGTAATTGAGAACTGAAACCATGCAGCAAATTGGAATGCCTTTTGCTCTGGGAGAACAATTTTGCTGTCTGTGTGGTGTGGTTTTGTAGCTGTAAGAGCCCACATCTCCAAAGGTGCTCTTCCCAGAGCACCTGTCTCCTCTTCCTTTCTATCTAGAAATATTTCTCTTGTTTTTCCAGTATCTCTTTCCCATAATTTCTGGACAATAATCTACTTTTTTTTTTTTACTCTTAAAAACAATTACAATAAAGACATAGCAAGTGAACAACTTAATAGCATATAAATGTGAGTGAGACAAAAAAGGATATAGGTATTGTCTGTGGCTCTGTTAGGGAAGGGATGTTGCTGATCTCTGTGAGAGGTGCATATTCCAATGCTCACTATGACTCACCTGTTTTTCCCTCTGTTTCTTACAGCCAGATGGCATGAAACAGTAAAGGCCAAATAATTCATCATTCTACAGACTTGCGATGGACTGGCCCCCAGAAAAATCCACAATGGTTGAAAATCTTTTCATGTGCTGCAGGTAAGACAGTTCCTTCATTTGTAACATTGCAGAGTTGAGTTTCTAAATGCTGCAGTGAAATGTAAACTGCTAATAAAATCCTGGTCTTGACAGGTAAAAGTCACTCTTTTCTGGAATTGTTTTATAAACCTTTTACTTTATGCTTCACAACATAGCAGTGTTTCTTTAAAAAGAATACCATCACAAGCACCCTACAGCTAAACCATGAAGAACAGTTAATTGCCCTTCAACTAAAATAACTCCATGAGCAATCAATCGATGAAGAACTGAGAGTAGCACTATTTGTCAGTCATCCACAGCCAGCTGACTCTTTGGAGGCCACCACTGCTGCCTTCATTGGATTATTGGGTCACAAATAGACCCAATAATCAGCCCAGCCATTCACATGCAACACAGCAACTACATGACACGTGTTGTGCTCATTCCTCCAGATTGTTGTCATATGGCTGTTGATTGTGCATGACAAACACATGAAAAAGCCATTTCTCAGGCTTGATGATCCAGTCTGCCCAGGCTTGGTTTGGTGGCCAGTTGAATGACATGAAAAGTTGCAGCTGGAGGTGACAGGATGGGAAGAATGATAGAAATTCTAATGAGTATTCTTACAAATCCTCAGGAGACAGCTCATGCTGGGGCACCCAGCTCAGGTGCTTGTGAAATCAGCTGTTATTTCATGTAAGCCCAATAGTTGTGGTGTTATTTGTATTATTTTAATTCTTTCGTTTCAAGCTGATGACCAGTTTGGAGGTTACTGAGTTGCCTGTGCTACATGATGGTGCTAGACATAGTCTTGATGAAGTCCTGTTTATTTATGAAGCATGAAAAAGTCTTCTTTCCTAGAATGCTGGGTTAAGTAAAGCTCAGACTTTGCACAGTGCTTTGACCAAGGCCAGTGTTTTGACAAATATAACCAGCAAAAGTGCACTCTCAAAGTTTCCTCTTGCATCAGCAGACACAAAAAGGCATTTTCCTTTCTCCCTCTGTCCCTGACATGTGCACGTGTTTGGGTTTTATCTCTCACACAAACACAAAGCTCCAGATTTCAAATGCCCTTTTTGCACTTTCTGTGTCAGCCTCAAGGGAAGCCATGCGAATAATGTGCAATGTACAGAAGCTTTGCTATGTGCCTGTCATTGTTTCAGCTCTCTGATTCTAGACAGATATTTGTTAGTCTTTTTGTGTTTATTTTAAGGAACAGTTATGGTTACCCACCAATTTCTGTGAATTTCCATGAAACAGATCTTCATTCCAGCTTAGCAAGACATTCACACCAGTAATTTGAACACTGTTTTTACCTAAACATTTCCAATAACACATTTTGAGGGTGCGTCGTTCTTTTTAGGGTCTTCATATTTCCTTGTTCTGAAAACCAGCCTTCCTCCCTGGTATACTGAGCACATATGCTTGCTGCCTGGACTGGTTTTGTACATTTTATCTTTGTATTTATTTCCTTGTGTGAAAATGGGCATTTTGAACAATAGGATACCATGTGTGGCACATGGTGAGATCTGAAAGCCTTAATTTTAAAAACAATTACATCCTAAATGCATCTGTCAAGCAAGTGGAAAACCTCTATGTCAAGTAGGGCTGACAAAAGAGATGAAGATGTAATTGCTTCTGGTTTAGTCTATTTTCTTCATGAGGTTTAAAGCCTTTCCTGGTGGTCCTTGGGTGGTTCCCTGCATCCCACTGACTTGCTCCAATGGACTGAATAAATCATTTTATCTTTGTGCACAGATAATGGCAGTTTTTACCTCCACTGGGTGTCAAGAGGCCAATGTGCACAGTGTATGTCAACTACAAGAAGTTGCTTATTATGGTCATTGCAGGCAAAATGCCAGGAGCTGCTAATTGGACAAAATGGAGAAACACAGGATGTCACCACTCTAAAGATGCTAAATCTTTTAGCTGTGCTGCCCTGTACAAATCTAATGGACTAAGTTCTGCAAAAAAAATGACAATTGATACATGGGGCTGTGAAAACATTCTTTCCTCATGTACCTGGGCCAGTCTTCAACACACTGTTTTTATTTTTTAGTATTAAGTGTTGATATCATTTCAGTAGGGGAAGATGGCAATGATGGAGCAGGTTCCCTCCTCAGTGTCATCCAAGCACAGATTTTTTTATTCTTTGATGTACTTCAAAGCATTGTTGTAAGTTGTATGTCTGCGGAACTTTAAAACTCTTCTTGGGACAGGATCTGAGCAATTATTTCTGCTGTTCTGCAGGAATGTGAACACTGACTTCACTGAAATGAAGTTATTTGCTCAGGGTCACATGAGAAAGAAAAACTAATTGCTTTAATTTCAAGTAATATTTTGACTCCCACACTTCTCTTTCCTTAGCATTGTTACCACTAGTAAGTGTTTATTCTGGTATACTGTGAAGTATGTGCAGGTCATAGTTGCTGGCTGTGTGTACAATCTATCATGCAAAGTCATTTCCACTGAGAAAAACAAACATTGAAATAATGGGGGGGGGGGGGGGGGAAACGGAACCAGAATAAAATGAGCCCCAAAAGGCTGTCAGCTACAAAAATGGGGTTTAACTGTTTATCTGTGAGAGGGTCAAAACTGGTGTGATCTATAAAACCCCTGAACAATAAAGAAGCAATGAAAAAGCAGCTAAACAAGGAAGAAATGTCCTGGCTGGTTGTTGGCAGGAGTGTTATTCACAGAGAACCATCACAGCCCAGCCCTCCTGTGTGACTCAGTGCAAAGGCTGTCTGCAGCCGGTGGGACTGGCTCCCTCTGCTCCATCAGTGGCTTCCTGAACAATGAGGGGAAAAAATAATGAGAACTAAGATGAATAATATCCTTATAAGAATACGAATTTAATTGCTCTAATTGCTTAAACAATGAGTTGTCAAGTGCTTAGTGCGGACTGTAATGCAGGAGAACTGGAGAAGTCAAATTAACAGGTTAATAGTTCCCCTTTGCTTGCATCCTCACATCCCACACTGGGAGCTTCAGAGCTGTCTCCAAACCAGAACAGGAGCAGGAGCTCCTCACAGGATTATGTCATTTATGTGACTTGTTGCATCAGGACAGTAATGGTGGGAGAAAGCGTAATGGGGTTTACATGACTCCCCTGTGCAATTTTAGATTTCTTAGACCAAGCTGCTCATGTGTCCAGAGTAATAGCTGATAAAATCAGAGGAACCACTGATATTTGTATATTGGTGTTATTTGCTTAATCCCCTAAACAGCAAAAGGGAACATTCTCTACAACCCAGCACTGGAAAGTACTTTGTCTTGCAAATATGTCTCAATTTCTCCTAAGGATCTTAATCCCAGAAGCAAAGCTATCATCTGCCTTCCCAGGACCGCCAACCAATGCAGCTGCAGGGATGGACACAGCCCCTGTGAGCAGGACTGAATCCACAGGTCATGTCGCAGAGGAAGCTAATAGGTAAAAATAGGTGTCTGTAGATAATAAGGCATTGCATCTCATTACCAATTCCCTGAGAAAGCCAACATCCCTCTATCATTCCTCTCAAAAGGATGCTTTCTTATAATTACATATCACTTTATTAGGCAGCTGAAGGAAAGAGCACGTTTGATGCTAATGAAGTGCTGCTGTGGTTGAGTCTGTCACTATTTTTGGAGCCACACATCTCCAGCACTTTTGATTGGGTGAGGGAGGCTTTGGATGTCTCCAGCTTCTGCTGTGGGGGCTGCACAGGGAAAAGCAATGACTCAGCGAGCCAGGACTGCAGAGCTGGTTACATGCTCAGAATGAGAAACGCCGTGGGACAGCGAGAACACACACAAAAGCTCTTTATGTGGTGGAAGGATTTTTCAGGTAGTGGATAGCATTATCTAGATCAAACAATCCTTCTGAATATTCACTTTGTGTCAGTTATCTGCACAGGCCTTGTTTTTCCACTTTTCCACCTATTAGCTCAGAGCATTTCAGAAAAAAAAAGCCAAGATTTCACAGAACTCCAGGGAAATATTTCCAAGGTTAGGGGTGAGACAAGTCACAGCTGTCCACCAGCACCAATCCTGACACAGACGAGGGCTTTACTGGCTCCATTTTCTGCAGCAGAGCTGAGGAGCTGCTCAGGATCATGAAGGCATCATTTAGTGTTAAAATCTGACTTAAGAGCAAGTACCCCTGGGAGCAGGCCTGCTCCCACCCCCCTTTGTGCCAGCACCAGCATTCAGCTGGCCCCACAGTGACTCAGTTCAGGATCCAAACAAGAATATTCATTCCTTCCTCTTCCTCCCCACCTCACAGGGTTGTTACTGGTCACCACTAGTCAAGCAATGTCAGGACAGGGGCAAGGGAGGCACAGGCAGCTCCCGAGACCCTTTCTGCACACCAGGGCCTGTTAAGACAACTAAATTACATTACCACATCACTTCCTGACAGCACTCTGGCAGCCAAAGCCTCCCCTTCTGTAAACAAGGTTAATGGTTCCAAGTGTCATTTCATGTCTTCTGATACACAAATGAGGAATGTGTCAGAGTAATCAATAATTACAGCAAATACCGCTGTATCTAAATGCCTTGTTACTCTTAGACTGCCCCACAGGGCTGTGTTGTTACTACAACCTCTCTGTTCCTGGAGGAGGAAGGGATGACTGAAGCACTAGCACCTCTTACCTGTTCTCTTAAGACTGCAACTGTCACCACAGCTTGGTTTGCTACAATTTAGATGAAGATGTTTACTTGCTGGTTTTGGACTTCACTTAAGTGTTTCCATATACAACTTTTACTAAAGTGAGCTTTCTAAGCATATTGGGTTAAGATCTTTTTTTGGTAGAATCAGTAAATGTATCTTGGTCCTGGCAGCGAGATGCACACAACACTTGTGTATCTTCTTAAGAGCTGATTTATGTAAACAGGCAGTCCCACCACTGCAGTAAAAGCTCATGTCAACTAAAGACACCTCTGACTATAACATTATCCATATCCAGCACACAATGTGCCTCATCACAGTCATAGTTACAGTAACAAGGAAGAAGAAAGAACACCCTCCCGGAGAAAGTACATCACAGAGAGCCACAGGAGACTTGCATCCAGCCCACAGGCCCAGAGCACTGCACCAAGCAGAGCTTGCTCCCTGGCTCCCTCTGCTGAACCCCACTAACATTTAATGTTATCGAGAGGAAGATGGTGGAAGAGTGACCAGTTTTGAAGACTTCTGTACTCTGCACCACCAGCCAGCATCAGCTCTGAAGATGACTGTAGCCCCTTGGTGCAGAAATCCATCCAGCTCAGTATTCTGCAGGCATAGGAGATTCTTCAGCAACTCTGGATCACTTCAGTTCTGATTCCTCCTCTCCACCGAGCGTGGCTGGTTTATAACATCGAGACACCCACCTCAGCAAGGTTCTATTACTCCCTTTTCTTGAAGCTGGCATGAATTTGATGAAATCTTTACTCCCTGTCAAGTCTGACCCCGCTGGCTACTTTCAGCTAAAACTTAATAGGAAGACAGATGGTGCCATTACATAAGCCTCGGTTCCTGTCTAAGTCTGGCTGAGGAAGAGCCTGAATGTGCCAGGTTTGTTAGTCTGTACATCCTCAGTCCTTGTAAGAGAGAGCTACTGCTGCCCCAGCATCTGGTAACTGACCTCAACAGATAAGGAAACCAGACAGGACCTTCTCATCTCACTTTCTGCCAGGTTTTGAGGTAAAAAAATTGTTGAGACTCTGTAAACAGTTACCCAGATAGGAAAATACCTTCACAGAAACAACTGCCGGAATTTAACTCATTTCTGAGCCTATGGAATAGGGAATGATGCTTTTACTTTTCAATCACAGCAGATAGTATTTTTCCTGACTGTAAGTGCTACATCCCACATGGATAAAAAAAAATAGGAAGGGACATGCATCAATTTTGTTCTGGTTCTGGGGATAAGTTACTCTGCATGGAGTATTCCCAGTGTTTCCACTTTAAACTGCAAGGCCTAGCTCTAAGAAGTTGTTGTATTTCCTGAACTTTATGTAGTGATTGATGGATCAAAGCTGTTCCTCCCAACCCCACTGTACACCCCCGTTTAGGATGCTCAGGAGTTACCACCTAGCAGTGGTTTGTCACAGAAATCTGATTCTTCACAAGAGATCCTGTCCTGGGCCAAACCAAAACATTGCTATCAGCTCTGTTCCCGAGCTGAAAGTCAAAACATTGCACTGCACCAGCTACCAAGAAGGGGAAAAATGACTGCTACTGCTGAACCCAGGACAGATCCTCAAAGCACTGGTTTTGGCACAGCAAGGGTACAGAGAAACCCACCAGCACAGACACTGGGCTGGATTTTATTCTGCAATGGGATGGGAGTCAACCCAGTATTTATCTCCGCTATCCAAAACAAAATCTATTGTTTTTCCTTTGCCCATTTCTACCTTCCCACTTGATTCAGTTAAGAAAGCTGAATTCCTGTTTATACTAAATAGTTTTAAATAGCCCCAACAACTACAAACCAAAACCAACCAACCAAAACCTTCACCACTCCAAATTCTAGTCAACTCCATCTAGCCCCTCAGAATTCTACACCACAGTTTTCCTACCCATTAAACATGCACTGCAGGACCTGTGCAACACATCCTATCACAGATTGCAATGAAGACAGCAGAGATCCTGGTTTTTCCTTCGAATTTAATGTGGTGCTTTCAGGACAGTTAGAACACCAATTTGTGAGGATAGACTCCATTGGAGAGACAGAATGTAGAACGCAGGTACCCACGGAGCTGAGGCACCTTCTTGATTCGCGCCAGGATCTGGGAATCCACCGCCTTCTGGTCCACCTTGCGCTGCTCCGTTATCTCGTATTTCTAGGAAGTACGAAGAACAAGGTGAAAATCCTGCAGACCCTTCCAAGGAATGAGAAAATTCAGGGCAAATCCCCAGTTCTGGCATTTTCAAGGAACCTTGTCTCCATTTGTTCTAAATAAGGCGGCAGGAGACCGGAGGTGGCAGGGAAAACTGGAGCCACTCTCTGGCTCCTGCTGCTGATACTGGAGCCAGCAACACACTGTTCACAAACAGTGAAGTTGTTTCTCAGTCAGAAAAGATCTTTACCTGGAGTTACCACTGCTGCTGCTCTGCTCAGGTACAAGCAGGAAAGAATCTTCACGTTTAAAAGGGGTTTATCTCAATGCTGCCAGATTATTTCATTTTAATGGCATTATCCCACTTACTGAGGGCCACTTAAAATTCCACTGTCCATTTGTTTAATGGGGTTATCCCCCTTCCAGCCTGCCTTTATGTATCAAGGGTACTTGGAAAGAAGAAACAATCATGGTCCTTACTTCCTTCTCAGTGTCAAAGATCTCGCCTTCCTGGTGCTTGGGCTTCCGCAGCCTCTTCTTCTTGAAGTATGCATCAGTGAGATGCTTGGGAATTTTCACTCCAGAGATATCCACCTTTGTAGATGTAGCAATAACAAATTTCTGATGGGCCCTACGCAGAGGGACACGATTGACAACCAAGGGTCCTAAAGGCAGAGGAACAACAGAAGAGAGACCAAGGTCAGCTTTCCTGTCAACAACCACTGCTTCTATGTTGAATTTCATGACTGGTTTCTTCAGAGATGCCTACAGCTAGTATCGATCAACAAAGCCCATCCCCACAGCCTCTGGAGAAGTGAGAAAACTTCTGATCTCTTCCAGAAGCTTCATTATCTCCCCTCCACCTCCTGGAAGGTCACGAAACATCATTCCACAGTTAAGCAAACACATGATGAGCCAGGCAACTCACATGCAGATCTGTAGCGCTACTGACGCCAGAGACAACCTGGAGCTTTAACAAACTAATGCCCCAAAAAAAACCCAGATGCACAAAAGCTCATCATCACACTCATATGCCAGTTTTTTACCTGTAACAAGCAAAAGGCCAGTATCAAGCTGCTTCAAGAAGACGACACGCTGCAAAGAGAACAGACGCAACATCAGGCCCCAGCTCTGAAGTACTGCAGACAAACGGGGACTGTGCCCACACCCAGCCCTGTCACTGGTACAAGCATCAACAACCCACCAGCAATGCAACCACTGTGCAAGCACAGCGGTGCCAGAGGTACTTCATCTACAACAGATCCTGACTCTTCACCCTCTTCATCAGTCAATGCTGAGCAAAGCCAGTGACTAAGTTTATGAAGCTTGGCCTATTCTGCAGGACACCAGACATCTCACAGCCCAATCCTTGGTACAAGTTAAAGGTAGGAACTAGGTAAAAGCCAGAAGGGCACCACAACATATCCCATGGTCAGAGCAACCCCCCAGCTGCATTTTATTCTTTCTGGTCAAGTCAGCCATCTCCAAACAGCGTTCTTTTCAGTAAGAGAACATCAAAGCCAAAGAATTCCAGAAAATAAAGGATGCCAGTTTATGGCGCCATGAACCTGCACGCTTCTCTGTTGCAGCAGGACTCCTGTCATTTGGCTAATCCACTGGCTTAGCCTGTTTCACTTCTAGCTCCGTGTGGAACACCATCAGTTTAACAACAGTCTCCCCTAAAGGCAGGATGAGAAAAAGCACCTAGACAGAACTCACGACACATTTGCAGGTTCGGGTCTAGTGGCTGTGCAGCACCCCATGAAATCAGCTGGTGAGTTCAAGATGCCTTTGCTCAGCCAGAATGGGTTCATCACAGAAATGATGCTGAAGCCACTGAGCAGGACGAAGCTCCAGCTTACCTTGCCTCTGTGACGACCGGTCAGGAGGATCAGAACAGTCCCCGGAGTGATGGAGGCCCTCAGCCGCCTCTTGTGCTGGCTGAAGGGCTTCTTGCCATGACTCAAAAGCTTGCGAGGAACATCCTCAGTGGGATAGTACCTGGGCTGGGGAGAGGAGCAAAGTGTTGTAACACCCTGCATGCCATAGGACAGAAAGCTTTTGGAGCAGTGTAGATTATTCTTCTTCTAAGAGACAGAATTCCTTTTGGAAAGGTTTTTTTCTGCTGCAGCTGGCAAGTCAGGAACACACACTGAATATTTTCTGTACCATTATGCAACAGTGAAATGGAATCATATCATAGAGTCATAGCATGGTTTAGGTTGGAAGGGACCTTAAAGCTCATCCAGTTCCAATCCCCTGCCATGAGCACAGACACTTCCCACTAGAGCAGCTTACTCCAAGCCCCTGTGTCCAACCTGGCCTTGAACACTGCCAGGGATGGGGCAGCCACAGCTTCTCTGGGCACCCGGTGCCAGCGCCTCAGCACCCTCACAGGGAAGAGCTTCTGCCTAAGAGCTCAGCTCAGTCTCCCCTGTTCTGTCAGGTCAAAGCCATTCCCCTTGGCCTGTCCCTACAGGCCCTGGTCCAAAGCCTCTCTCCAGGTTTCCCGCAGCCCCTTCAGGCACTGGAGCTGCTCTCAGGTCTCCCCTTCAGGAGCCTTCTCTTCTCCAGGCTGACCTGGCCCAGCTCTCTCAACTCTCTCCAGAGCAGAGCTGCTCCAGCCCTCACAGCATCTCTGTGGCCTCCCCAGACTCTGTACATGTTTCCAGTCCAGCACAAACGGCAGAGGCCCCACTCCTGCCTGCCAACCATCCTCTGAGCTCCCCTGCACTGCCCCAGCTGCATCAGCCCAAAGCCACACAGGACAATGTTGTCCCGGGAGCTTTTCCTTACCAGTTTGCGGATTTTCACCACACGGCTGCCTCCATTCTTGTCCCCCCCCACTGGCTTGGTGATGGTCGTGCGGGGCCTCTTTCTCTTCTTCCTTTCTATCTGCAGGTGAAGAAAAGGGAAAACGTAACATCTCAAACCAAAACCACCCTGAGGAACCTGACAGTTTAAGTACAGTGTTTATCATCCTACCCTTGTTACTGGAGCAGTGTACTTGCGCTTGTACAGTGCTTTCCTGGCATACATAGCTGAGCGGGAATACCTCCCGATGCCCCGGGCCAGGACAGGGTTCCGGCTGGCATGATGCTTCTTAACCCTCTTCTTCTTCTCTCCTCCTTCCTTCTGGATTGGTTTCTGCTCCAGGGACTTCTTCTCACCCGGCTTCTTCTTGGCCGGCTTTTTCTCGCCCGGCTTTTTCTCAGCGGCCGCCTTCTCACCCGCCATCTGTGGATCCAAATCAAACCCAACCCGGGACTTGTCACAAGGTGTGCAGGAACAGCATAAGCGATCCTAACTCCATCCTCTGCACGGCTCTGGCACCCAGCAGCCACTCACAGCCGTGCCGGTCAAGAAAAAACCCATTCTGTTTGCATCCATACCGCAAAACCCTCCTCCGCGCTAGTTACAGCGGCTCCACGTTCACAGAATGCCCTCAACCCCCGCATTAAGGAGCCCATGGAAGCACCCGCCGCGCTCGGGGCACAGCCACCCCGGGCTCAGGACCCCCGCCCGCGCTGGAGCTGTCGGGCCCCGAAGCCTTCCCCTGGCAGTTACCTGCACAGGGCCCCAGCTCCCAGGTCCCGCCTCGGCCCCGCCGCTCCCCACATGGCTCCGGCCCAGCGCGGCCTCCGCTGCTACCGGCGGCTGGGCCTATCTGCAGTCGGCTTAAACTCCTGCTCCACCCCGACCCCATATCGGTCCCCAGGCTTCACTGCCGCCCTCCCGAGGGCGCCGCGCCGGGCCCGCGAGCCCCGTGCAGCCGCTCGAGGGCAGATGGCGGCGGATAGCGCCCACCGGGTCCCAGCCCTGCCCGCCGCCGCTCCGCCATCCTTACCTTCCGGGGAGGGAAAGGGGCCTACGTCCGGGTACGAGTGACCTAAAGAGAGCCCTGCGTCTGACGTCACCGCGCCGGCCGCGGAGCACTCTGGGACTTGTAGTTCGTGCAGGTGCCGGCTGCCGCGACGGCCCCGGTTCACCGGGGAAACGTGACACCGGAGCTCCCTTCGCCCTCCGACGGGGCCGTGCAGCGGGACAGCGGCTCCAGGGCTGGCGGCCCTACTGCCTCCAGCTCCGGGCGGGGTCGAGATAGAGCTCCTCGCCAACCCCCGCCCTGCCCGGTTACACGGGTTACGCTACTCCCGTGGCCGGTACCGCCGGGGCTACTCCAGCGCACCGCACCGGACCGGACCGAGGGAGAACCGGCAGCTCCCTCCCCACCGGTTTTGACGCGAGGGGCGGAGCGTGGTCGCAGACCGATGACGTTTCGGGCGGGTGACGCAGGGCGGGCCGCGCCGCGCGCCTCCGGGGCCTGAGGCGGCCGTTGTTCACGCTCCCTGCAGGGCGCCCGTAGGCCGCGGCCCTCGCCGGGGACCGGAACCCCCATGTGAGAGGCGGCCGGTGGGGGGGGAGCGGCGGCGGCGGCCGGGGGACCCGCCGCTGCCACCGGAGACAATGACATCGCGGAGGTGAGGCGGGAGTGAGCGGCGCCGGGCCCGGCCGGGGGTGTGGGGGGGCGGGCAGGGGCTGACTGCCCCCGGGGTGTGAGGGGACCGGGCCCCTCCGCGCTCCCACCCCCCCGGGGGGCCGTTGGGCCGGGCCTTTACCCCGCTGAGCCACGCAGGGCCTCCCGCGCGCTGTGGCTGCGGTGCGGGGGCAGCCGCCACCTCGCTCCCCGCAACCGCGGCGCGGTGTCCCCGCTCCCCCCGAGCTGCACCCGCTGCCTCGGCCCGGCTCAGCCCGGCGCCTGGCTCGCTCCGTTCCTGCGCAGCGCGGCTCGATGGAGGGTGCCTCCCCGGGGAGGTTGCGGGCCTGGCGGGGTAGGGGGACCGGACGGCTTCGGGCTCCGCCGACCCAATAACGTTGAGTCCTGGCGGGGTTCAGGCCGGGCTCACTGCGCCCGCGTGTGCGCTTGAACCGGAGGTGAGGTTTATCCAGCGGCAGCCCACCCGCGGAGCCGGGCCGAGGCGCTGTGCTCCCCCCAGCCCGGGTGACGTTACGAAGCTAAACCGTGAGCCAGCTTTGCAGTGAGTGTTTGTGAGCTGACCGGAGCCAGGTGCTTGATTCGGCAGCAGCCTTTTTGGTCCAGCTTCAGAACCTTGTGGTGCTGCAAAGTCTGGGTGACAAACAGTTGAATCTGCTTCTTTGTTGTGGGTTTCCATTGTCCTTAACCCGTTCTGGTTGTTTGTGCGGTGCTAGCAGTCCTTTTTGGGCGAAAGGTTAAGTTAAATGTTAGGCTTAAGAGGAAATTGTGTCATAGAAAGGAAGAAGATGTTGATATTGTCATTTAACATACCTATTCAGAACTGTCATAGAACCATAGAATGGTTTGTGTTGAAGGGACCTTAAAGCTCCTCCAGCTCCAACCCCTGCCACGGGCAGGGACCCCTTCCACTGGAGCAGCTTGCTGCAAGCCCCTGTGTCCAACCTGGCCTTGAACACTGGCCGGGATGGGGCAGCCACAGCTTCTCTGGGCACCCTATGCCAGCGCCTCAGCACCCACATTTGATGCGTCTCTTTAATACGTATTCAAGCAGAACTTCTTTGACATTGGGTTGTCCTTGTTCTTGTTCTGCTTATGACGGTGAAGCTGTCTGGGTTGGTTTTTAGTCTGTGGCCGTTTATAGTTGAGCTGGATTTGGGGTCTCCTGAAGCGTGTGGAGTGTGTGTTGGGTCTTCACATATGGGAGCAGGTTGGACGTTACCTTTCGGAAGCAGTCGTGACATCCTCGTTGTTGGGAGTGATCCTCAGGTTCTGCTCCAAGCTTTAGATTGTGTCTTGTGAGGGAGGCTGCAGGAGATGAGAAATAGAAATTGATGAGCCTATAAATAGAGCTAATTAAACTACCAGTCACCGCCTCCCTTTATGCTATGGTTGTGACAGCTGAGACTCAGAACTGGTTTAATCTGAGACTCAGAACTGATTTAATGTCTCCTGCTTTTGAAAGGTGATTAGGAAAGCCCAAGTGCAGCATGGAAAAATGTATTGATTTTGGCTTTTCTCTCTTTGGTCTGGGACGAGAGAAATGCTGGCCATGTGTGACTTATCAGCATGGATCCTCATCTTTCCTGGGCTGTGCTACCCAAACAGAGGTCATTGTAGCACACCTCTGTTTCCTACCAGGTATTAACTTTCATCCAAAGGTTTCTTGCTTAGCTCATATCCCTTTCGTTTTGTAAATGAGAGCCCTGCTATGTCACTGGTTGCTTTTCTGCCAGTCTTTTCATCTTACCCTTCCAAGTCCCTGATTAGTTTACAGTAAGCTGCTGACCCCCCAAAACCAGAATATTCCTCACATAGTGAGGACAGTCAGTTGAATCAGAGCGTGGGCTTGCGTCTGCCTTGTGTTACTTTCTTCATTATATTTATTGGCTGCGATGCCCTTTGCTTGGGACGGCCTCTGCACCTGCTCACAACAGAGAGGGCAGAAGGAAAGGAGGAAAAAGAAGCCTAAAATGCATTCCATCCCTATAAAAGGAAGCAGAAGCAAAAGTCCTCCCTGGGGTTATGTTACGTGTGTCTGTGCCCGCAGTCCCTGTGCTCTGTGCTCCGGTTTTGGAAGAGGTGGAGGCCCCGAGGTTCAAACGAACACATGTGGTGGCAGCACTTCAAATGGAGGGATCTTCATCACCGGGCCGGAACCATTTCACAGAGATCACCGACACCCCCATTTTTCTATTTGGGGTGCCTGACAAATGCATCTTCCTACTCAAAGCCAAAAATACAGAGATGAGAGAGCAGGAGTGCAAGTTACCGCCAGAACAGAAGTTACATAAAGCGCGGTGAACTCCATCCATCTCCCAGGTGTAGCTTTGCTTTTGCTGCGCTTGCTTTTTGCCACCTTCAGAGGGAATGTTTTTAAACAACTTCTCATCTTTTTAATCTCTCCTTTAAGCACGAGTTATTTCTGGTCCCTTCTGTTCATTAAATCGGTATTTTTACACTTTAACAATTCATGTACGGTTACATCCAGATGGATGAGGGTTTAGGGTAAGGTACAGAAGATATTATATTAATTAAAGCTTCTGGAATGTCTCCACGTAATAAATCTGCAGAGCTGATTCCAATAACAACTTCTTTGTATGTTGATTTTAGACTCAAAACCATGTAAAGGTGTCTCTTGAATCCTGTGTGTTTAAAAAGCTTATAAACGGTTCAGAATGCTGCTGCGCTTTATGTTTGATTGGGGTTTGTTTTCTCCTAATGGAAGGGCAGCTTTAGGGGTGGAAACGTGGTGAGTGTCTTACCAGCTTCTGCAGACCAAGCTGCTGTGTTCTGAAATGCAGTGTTTCATGTTCAGTTCATCCTGGGTATTGATGCTTGGGCAGTGTCTTTTGTGAGACTGCGTCAAAACAGAACTTCTCTTGACCTTTGAATAGTCATTAAATAAATGTAGCATCTTTTGCTAATCTGTTTCCCATTTGCTCTAATAACTTGGAAGGGTATTTTTACTAGATTTTTCCATGACCCATGCTGCCCAGGTTTGATTGGTTTTTGTTGTTCTGCAGCTAAAGGTATGGTGGCACTCACTAGACTTTCTTGGTGTAAGCAAAATATCCTTAGCTAGGAAAAAAGCAAGATTAACCAGAAGAATTACTTGCTTCTAGAATGGAATTGGTACAGAAGTAATCCTAATTCCCATTTGAACGACTTGCTGGAGGTTTGGATATTGTAGAGTCTCTCAAGCTCTCCGGAATATTTCCATGAGCATCTCTGTCTGAAGAGAACAGGTTGGATAAAGCCTTGCTGGGAGGATTGTCAGCTCCTCAGTACAGAAGGAATTGCTGAAACAATCAGAGTAATGACCCTCGATTTAGACATGCACTTGCATATTTTGCTGATTTAGCAGTTTAGCATGAAGTGCTGAAGCGTTGGGAATGACCAGGAATGATATTCCTTTTTTCCTTTTTTTTTTTTAGCTATAGCACTCCTGTATCCACAGTGAGTTGTGGAGTCTTTAGCCATAATGTTTTGCTTTATTTCAGCGATACTAAGAACTTTGTGTACAGAGAGGAGCACCCTCTGTTCTTGCTGCAGATAGAAATGTGCGTTTCCACTTGCGTCCTGCGCAGTGTCTGATTTATGGCAACTTGGGAGAATAAAGATGATCCTTTACTTGCCAGACACGAGTCTGACAAAGCCACTAAAGCAGTGGTTAGTTGCTGTGTTCACCTCTCTGTCCCTGGCTGGTGGTTTGGGTTTTGCTGGCTTTCTTGTCTCCTAATATCCTGCCTTCTTAAAAACTCCTTTCACCCAGAACACACAGATGTAGTTTAGCACTGCAAGGGTGCACTAAAAATCCTTGGTCACAGATAAGAGGAAACACAGATGTGTCAACTGAATGGCTAAGAATAAGTCTCAAAAGTTAATGCCATAGGTGGGGACATGGAGCTTCTTGGCTATAGCCCATATAGAGCTCTCCCTTGGCAGGACACTATATTAGTCATTCCGAAGGCTCTTTGTGGGTGGTGAATATCAATATGAGATTCCTGGGTGCTTGTATTTAAGTGGGATATATTCAGACCAGAGAAATTGCCATGGTAGTTGGGAGGCAAAGTCTGGCAGCCGCCAGCGCCACGTTCTGCTGAGGAAGAGCTGAGCAGCTTGTCCCCAAGTGAAGTTCCTTCCTGACCACTCTCAGCTGGTGGTCACCTTGTGCCCTAAAGCATGAGGTTGTGTTACCTTTTTAACCTTTAAAATGTTGTCAAGTGTCACTTCGGATGTCTTGTCTTATTTTTAAGTGTTTTGCCTGGTTGTCTTCCAGTTTCTTTGTGTGTCTTGTCTTCCTGGAGTAAGGAAAATGTAGGATTGTGGTCTCTACATTGTATAGCTCTGATATCATTTTAATCCAAGCAGTCTGAGTATGTCTAGATATAGCTCTTACAAAGCATCTCTTACCAGTGCATCAAACTGCAATGCAATATGAAATGAATAATTTATATTTTCTTATTAATTTAGGAACAAAATTCAGTGC